GCTTTTTAATCGAAGATTTAAGATTGATCAATTGCCTAATGGAATATGATTTTACATTATCATCGTTTTATACTTCCTAAATGTGAACATATTCAACTATACTTCACTTTAATATCAGAAATAATTAATTATTTTATATATGATGTTTTGGAGTAGGGCTAGGAAGCCAATATCAGATCGTCTTGGAAATAGACTGACTTATACCATAAGAATTAAGTTGTAATAAACCATTATCATATAATCCGTTAACCCATATTATAACAATTTGGTCCTTATACCAAAGCCATTTTGGATTAACTGATTATACATCACACCAAATATTGCTACTTCTCCTCAGTAACTTTTATTGAAAAGTCTTCATAGTTATTTTATTTCAAATTTCTGATAAATAAAAATTGAAAACAAATTGAATTGACAATTGATAAAGTGATAATTATGATATATATCATATTGTTGCATATACTTTACCCCGACCAATACAAGACCGATAAATTCTTGAATCTTGTGATTTAACCAGTATCAAGACGGAAAACTTAGGCACTTCTATGGCGTTGGTCCAAATGTCTATTGGACTTACGACCTGTAGCCCCTAGTTTTCAGCGCACCTAAAAGGGCCTAGACAAGCAGAACCTTGCGGGCTACAGCAACAACAGGATTACATGAGTAGGGAAGTGGGTGAAGGGACGATGAAGGGGGATATGTAGGAGGTGAGTGGATATGTATTGAACGTCATCCTGGATCCAGACGGAAAAACCTCACCACTTCAATATGCTGAGTCCAAAGGTTAATTGGACGAAGGTTTGTTTGTGCAGAAGGACAGGTAAACAGATTGCCGACGTCATGGGGAGACGTGTTTATGCGTGACAAGTAACTGTTTAGCACTCGGCTATATTCTGATCTCAATTGAGCTAAGACAGTTCCTGCTGCACGGGGGAGATAAAGTTCATCTGGGGAGATTTTCGGAGGAGACCTATTAAGAACTTTGTTGTCTAACAACTTAGGTCTTGAAGGAGATACTGCATCTGTGTGGAGGGTCGTATGTCCAAGTTTAACAAGTTTATATTCGATGTTAGTATTGATGTTAGGTCCATTGCAAAAGGTGTCGACATAATTATTAAAAGAGAGGAGAGATCGACGAATGCAGAAGTGCAAAATAGATCAAGCTGGTTGCAGTGCATAAAGGTCTTAGCGTAATGCATAAACCATTACTTTATATTGTCTCATATACTTAGTAGAAGCTACTTTAATCAATTTTCTAATAATATCCGAACTTACCTGTGTATCATTTAAAATTTCCAAGTGTTCTCCTTTACGAAAACTTAAGTCCTCGTCAGTACGTGCGTCGTAGTCGTATAAGGCGACAAATATTTTTGCATTTGCATTGGAAGTCTCATTTTCTGGAATCTGTGGAACAGGACGTATTTGCTCCTGCGGTTGGCCAATAGGCATTGTCAGTTGCTGTACGCCGGTGACACCCACACCAGCGGGATCGTCAAGTTGATTCCGCTCCACATGTGTCTTGTCGATGTCTGGTTTCTCTGTGCGTAGGCAATTGCCCATTTTTTTTCTGTTTTTTGTTGTTTTTTTACACTTTACAAAACTTTAAACACTAAACGTTATATTTTTTTATTTACAATAATATTTCGTTGTTTATATTAATTTTAATAATAGAATATTTAAGGGTGTTGGCACTTTATATTTTACACTGGGAATAATTATTATCGTTTGCACGCCCTTCTGCATTTATATTTACTTTATTTTTTTTCTTTTCTTTTCTTAAATGCAACCAATTCATTTGTGTGTGTATGTAGACATTTGAATGTTTATGTGCGTTTTGTTTAACGTTTAACTGATGCTGTGGGGGATAAAAAAATTTTTGTTGAAAAAAAAATGCAAAATAGAACTTATAATGAAAATAAAATTGTATTGTTTACTTTTTAGATATATTAACACACTTTTTAATACATAAAAAACCGATTTAAGAAATAATACATTTTGTGTTTACGATTGCCGATGTATAGAAATGCTCCGTTCATACAAAGTCACAATACAGGCAACATTGAATGAATGGAATTTTTGACAATTGTAAACTAATAAATTCGATGCGGCGAATTAAATGTAGGGGAAAAGCGCGTAAAACAATTCACAATTGCAGCAATTATGCTGTCAATACAACAAAAAAAACACAAGTGGTCTGTACAAAAAATAAAATAAAAATAAATCTTGTAAAAGATAAAATACAAAAACTATTCTTTTTTTTGAAGAAACCATACATTTAATATTGTTTTGAATTTAAGCTAAAACCGTAACTAAATAATTAGAAAGCAGCGAAAATCTGTGTTAGAATTTTATACAACTGCTTTCCACTTTATATTTATTAATCATGCATTCTTGTTTATTACAAACATTCATGAAATTTTAATGCAACACTTTTTGTCCAAACACCTGTTAAACATATTATTGCACATTTGTTTTTTATTTTTAATGTTATTCGTGTGCAGACAGCATATAAAATATTGGAGAAAAAAAAATAGTTAAAAATTTCACGCAGACACAAGCATTCGTTCGTTTTCTCTTTTGTTTTTGGTATTCGTAGTACTTGGCTACTCCACCTTATAATTTCATTGCTTTGGATTTTTGGCGTTAATCGCACACATTCCGAGTTAATATTAGAAATATAATAAATATTTCTTTGTTTTGATATTTTCTTCAAATTTAATTTTCACATTTTTCTTATAATTTTTTTATTTATTTGGATACATTATTCTCTTGCGACTACTGGTACAAGAATATTGGACACACACGACACGAACTCTATGAAATGAATGCTGCAATTAAAAAAGATGTTGTAGGCTGTCGTTTAGTGCCATTCACAATAGTTCATAATTTGTATGTCAACATACAATATATTTTAGTCATACTGACAGAAATAGTTTATTGGTAATATATTAAAATTTTATAATTAGCAATAATTATTAAATTATTATAACATAATTGGTAATTTTTTTCTCATATACATATAAATAGGTATTAGTATATGCGTAAGTATAAGTAATATGTGCATATATATATATGTATTTTTATTAAATAATGAGTTTATTTAATATAGCATTTACATTGGCCTCAAATGGCTCATTTTGGTCAAAAATCAAAAATGAGAAGCAAATGACTCACTTTTGCATACAAAATATCAAGCGCAAATGAGATCTATTAGATCTCATTCTGTATAAATAAGTTCCAACGAGATTAAAATGAGTTCCAAATATGTTCCAAATGCAAATGAATACATTGAACATACCCTAAACAAAAGTTGTTTTGAGAAAGCTGTTTTTGACATATTTACAAAAAAGGTAAACAAATGTTTCGTGGTTGCATTACCTTGAAAGCGATGCACCTCTTTTTGAAACTTCTACTTCCCAAAAAAAAAATTAATCGAAGCTTAATTAAGTTTTCAGTTTGTATTGTAAGGTTTGAAGATATATTTAACCTTCATCCAACATTTTTTTGGCACAGGCGAAAAATCAAATCAACAGGCAAGACGAAAAATCAGCTGTTTGAAATGAGAACAAATGAATTACAATGAATGTAAACGCTTTCAAATGACTCATTTGAAAGGAATTATTTTCGGCCAGTGTAAACGCCATATAAGATTCACAGAACTGCTATTAAAAAAAAATTTTTTTTTATATTTAGGGCGAAGGACCTATGTAGTAGTCCAGTTCCTTATTCTTAGTTTACTTTAAAATTAATTTTAATGTTAACTCACAAATAAAATAATAATAAATTTTTTATAAACAACAATTTAATAATTAATTTTAAATTGATTTCTATAGATATAAAATATTAAAAATAAAAATAATATATATATTTTTTAATATATTACAATCTGAACTCACCAAATTTTTATTCTGACCTCACACAAAAAAGTGCGAAAATGGTATTTTAAAATTGCGTTTAAAACTCCACTCAATGGCAGCGTTAGGACCGCCATCGACGGATTCGCACCATAGAGGCCTCGTATATAGTTGTACATATATCTTAAAATCTTAGCTACACTTACCAGAGAAAAAATGATTTGGTTATATATACAGTCTAAAAGAAGATTAAAGAATATAATTTAGAGGAAGTATATCCGAATGTCTATATAGTAACCAAAATCATGATCTCAGTTTCTGCTGAAATAAGCTTCTCAAAGTTAAAATTAATTAAGACCAAGCGATGCTATCTGCATTGGCAATTATATCAATTAAAGCGAAAATAGCAGCTGGTGCAAATTATAATATATTTAAAAAAAAAATTCAGTGGATCTAAAAGTAGAAAAATGCATTTATATTAATTTATATTTATTTTTATTGGATAAAGAATAAAATTTTTAAAAATGCTTCGGTGTATTTGTGAATCTAACATACATAATTTTATAACTCGGTAATAAAAGGGGCCTAGAAATTCTGATGTCGCTAACATCCAGATTTGGTCTAGCTTCGCCACTGACTCCTCTTTTTAACTCCTTTAGCTTTAAAATGCTCTGAGTTGATATAATCTGCTAACAATATAAATCATACTGATTTGTTATAAGCAATTAATAAGAACACTATTTTTATACTCACTCCTCATTTTGTCCGTAATCTCAATCGCCCAAATGAAACGCTTTTGACAAACGTAGTCTCGGTTATCTTCATTATCTACTACTCTTAACATCGACCACGACTATACATTACCATAATCATAATAATCTCTTCCATGATCTTCTTCACTCAGCTTAATTTACAATCGATCTACTTAATAACGTGTGGTAAAAGTCTTTCAAATTCCTGACCCTTTAACTGGACGATATCATCGGCATTCATACTGTAATCACATTCTGAAATTGTGGTTACAACATCTTGCACAGTTGATAATTACTTATAATCGGTAATTACTAGCTAGCCAAAACCTCCTCAATTCCTTCCCTCACTTGTTTTCAGTGTTGGGTTAAATATATTTATTGCTTTCTGTTTTCTAAATTTTGCTTTTCCTTCGTTTAGTGGAATGGGGTTTTAGCTCTAAAACTCAACGACTTAATAGTTGAAATTTGTCCATTTTGTATTCCGAAAAGGTGATTTAATTGGTTTGAAGTCTCATACTGTGGGAGATGTGTGGATTTGTCCGACTGGAAAAAAAATGCGTTGAAATCATAATGTATTGGTTTCGTTTGTTTTTTTTACGAAAGTTTTCAGAGCGGATAAAATAGTTTTAATAGACTACTATACTCACGTATAATAGTAAATATCATAGAAATAGCATCATGTTTTAAATTGGGTTCGTTTTAACTCATTACATTAAACGAAATGTATAATTTTGTTTTTGTATTTTTATTTACATAAACTAATTCCATTTAAAATAAACCAATTTGATTTGGCATGATCCAATCAGATCGATGGCGGTTGTCTCATTGAACGCGTTTAATTATAAAAACATGTTATTTCACTCAATTTATTGTAACTTAAAATTAAATTAAATTCTAAATTTATATTTAATTAAAAACAATATGATATTTCATAAACTATTATGTACTCATGTGATATAAGTTATCAAAAACTTTAAATAAAAATATTTACTAAATAGTAGGCAACTCTATTCCGTTTTCATTCCGGCGAATAATATATTTCTATTCCTTTTACTCACACACGAAACTTCGAAAACAATAGGTTTTAGTTTATTTATAATTCACAATAACAAATTTGTGGTGAAAAATTTTATATTTTCAACATTATGAATTTTTAATATACCATTTATTTGAAAATTTATATATTAAATATATATTAATATATATTAAATATATATATATTAATATATATATTAATATTATATTAATATATATATATATATATATTAATGTATATTAAATAAATTAATATGATATATAATATATCAATATGTAATATATTAAATAATATACATTTTAAATGTATTTTAATATATATGAAATATATATTGTAAATGTATATGTACAGTATATTAATATATTATATTATATACAATATATGTTAATATATCTCTGTTTTTATTATATATATATTTTTTTTATTGCACATTATTTACAGACTATCAATAGTAGAGAGGAATCATTACATATATAAGCATAGGTATAGCTTTATATTATGATACCGTAATGATAGTTATATATAAGAATAATTTATTAAAAATACAGAGAAGTTCTTATACGATTTTCTGTGGTAAAATATAAAATTTAGTATACAATAAGATAAAATATATGGTACTAGTGAATCATTGGAGATTACCCTGGAAGCCTTTTAGCATCCGTGTTAGCTTTTAGTATATGCTTTTAAGTAACAGTAGTAAACATACTAAACAGAACAGATGTCTGGACAATAATAAATTTATTTATCTGTCCATGGAATATATAAACTGTTTCTGTGGCTAACGATGTATGTACATATATGACATATGATGAAAAAGTAATCGAAATTTAATGTTTGATTTTGTTAACACTTCTACACAGTATGGAAAATAGGATAATGAAATGTGTAAACTACATTTCACTCCATCATTTAATTCATTATATTATTCCTCAATGCAAAATTATATCCCAATCCTCAACTCTGAACAACAACAAGATTTGGGCTTCTATATTAGTATTCACTGTTTAACAATCTCATCTAGTAAGCTAAACTAAGTATAATATATTCTTCTTTGTGTTGGAGTGTGTCCATCTTTACTATATTGGTATTTCCTAGTGGATTTTAGTGGTTGGCTCCTTTGGGAACATTCACCATTACAATTTATCTTATCGGTATGATAAAAGCAAATAAAAAAATAAAAATTTCTTTGAGAAGTTCTTTAATTATCTTCTAACTGTTTAATTTACAGACACATTATTTTAAGTTTCAAATTTTTTTGGTTGAAATATAAATCTTTTATGACCAAAAAATTTAATATTAATTTAAATAGAAATAAAAACACTATAATTTATTATTTATATTTAAAAACAGTTAATATTTTATTAAAAATATTTGTTCCAACATTTCGACTATCTTCGATAGTCATCTTCAAGGAAACTAAACAAGATATACAATGTTCCATTTTTATACCGGAAAATTACAAAGAAAAATCATACAATAAATAATAATGACAACAAGAAGAAAAAAATAACAATAGAAAAAAAGAAAAAAAATTACAAAAAAAACATATACAAACATCCTGTGTAATTTGTTTATAATATTTCTAAACGCCCAAGCACAGTTGTCCGTATCCCTTTTATAATTTAGTCTTATACTATTACGAATTTTAGGTATTGGGAGCAATATTGGAACAAATTTTTTTAGTTAATCACAAAAAGCCACTATCATTAACGTTAACAATTTGGAGGTACACACTTTCAGTTCCTCATGAATATTGCTTCTACAGCACTTAGGCTTGCTTATATGTATATTGCTTCTCAAGCAAATAAGTTATAAACTACATTTATATATACATATATGCTTGGAAATTTACATAAGGCAGAGATATCGATTATGTATAAAATTAAAGTATTCAAAATTTTTTTTTTTAAAATTCCACTTAATATTTAGAATAATCTTATATCAAAAATAATCAACCTTGTGACATATCGGGTCGTTCTGAATTTGTAGTGTTATAAGGACTTTCATCATTTGATAAATATACATCAAAATCAGTGGACAAATCATTTAAATTATTATTTTCTTTAAGTTTCTGAACGTTAGTCCCCACAGCCTCTTTTACATTTTGTTCCCCATTTAAAACTTTCGTTTCTTGTGGAATTTGATTTTTATGATGGTTGTTTCCTTCTTGTGACATGTCCGTTTGTTGTAAATTCGTACTGATATATGGACCTTCATTATCTAAATATTCATCAATATCAGCAGACGAAATATTTAAGTTATTAACTTTTTCAAGCTGCTCCACTTTGGGTTCCTTCTCGTGATGTGCTGATCTATACATATGACTTGCTTTTGATTCAATATATACTAATTTCATTTCTTGTGGAATTTGTAATTCCTCTTTAAAATTTTGTTCCACATTTAGGACTTTCGGTTTTTGTGGAATTTGATTTTCATGCTCTTGTGCACTATGTCTCTCTTGTTGCCTCACCAGATCGTAATATAAACCACGTTTCGACATTAATTCATCATGTTTACCGGACTGAAAAGGAAATTTGGTTTCATAAAAAAAAAAAATACAATTGCCTAGAGAATTTATTTACCTCAACTATTTTGCCCTGATCCAGCACTACAATTAGATCAGCATTTCGAATGGTTGATAAACGATGCGCTATAACCAATGTTGTTCTATTCAGTACCGCCGTATCAAGTGCTTTTTGTACTTCCGCCTCACTTGTTGCATCTAGAGCGCTTGTTGCTTCATCGAGTATTAAAATTTTTGGATTTTTAAGCAGTGCACGTGCAATAGCGATACGCTGCCTTTGTCCACCACTCAACTGTGTGCCTCTTTCGCCAACATTTGTTTCATAACCAGCTGGCAGTGCACTTACGAAATCATGTGATTGCGACAGTTTAGCTGCTGCATAAACATCAGCTTCTTTAGCATCTGCACGACCATAACGTATATTCTCTAATATAGTAGTGGCAAAAAGTACGGGTTGTTGTTCAATGAAACCCAAAACATTAGCACGTAGCCAGTAGGGAGAAATATCCTCCAATCTATAGCCATCTAATTTAATAGTGCCAGAGGTAGGCTCATAAAAACGTTCTACTAATGCTGCTATGGTGGATTTGCCTGAACCACTAGCACCTACCAATGCCACTGTTTCACCTGGACGAAGTGTTAAATTAAAATCCTTAAGTACGATCTATAAGTAAAGTGGAATGTAAGCAGAAGTGAATATAATTTTTCTTATTAAATAATACATACCTGATCTGGTCGTGTAGGATATGCAAAGCTAACATTTTCAAAGCGTATTTCACCTTTCAGATGTTGTTGTGGAATTTCATAGCCTCTTGTCAACTCAATTTTAGGTTGAAGTTGTAAATACTAAAGAAGAGAAAAAAGAAACAATACAGTTTAATATATTTTGTCAAAATTATTTTTGTCTTTTGTTTTTTTACCTCAAAGACACGTGATCCTGCTGTCATGCCTCTAATCATAGTACCTAGAAGTATTGAACCTTGTGCTAGTGAACGTTGTACACCTTGTGATGCTACTAAAAATGCCATTAACGCACCTGGCGTTAAGCTTTCAGTAGACATTAAGTGACCACCCAAGAAGAGTGTAGTCAACACTAAACCATTAAGGAAGAAATTCGTTAGACCTTGAAATACTGCAATGCCATAGCCTAATTCGCGTGCCAAACGTGCAGCTTCATTCGTTTCCGTTTCAAATAAATCCATTTCACGATATTCACAAGCACTAGAACGTACAGTGCGTATATTGGATAAAGCCTCCTCACAAACAGCTGTGGCACGTTCAGACTAAACAGAAAAAAAAGCAATATTAATAAATGTATATTTATATTTTTATTAATAAAATTTTATACTGATTTATTAACTAACCTGTGCTTGTGAACTTTTACTTAAAGAACGTAATTTTTTACCCAAATATGTCATGAAAACCACTACAGCAGGTACTGAAGCCAAAGCTATAGCCGCCATATGTGGTGATATTAGGAATAATGATATGCCACCACCTATCAGTTGCGCTACACTTCGTAGTCCTTGCGATACGAATTGCTTAAAGCACGTTTTGAAATCCTGCACATCAGCTGTCAAACGATTTACTAATTCACCCGTTCGATTCTCATCAAAGAATTCGATATCTTGTATTACAATTTGTTTAAAGAGATCCTGACGTATTTGTGCCGCCATCTGCTCTCCAATGCGACTGAGCAAATAAATATAAATAAAGGTGAAACCTGATTGTAGCAAATATAAGCTGAGTAAATTACTTGCTGGTTTCTTAATATCACTAAAGAAGGAATTGTGTAATGGATCCTTGACATAAGTATTTGCATAACGTGCTAGCGTATTGACTAGATCACCTAGTAAGTTTGGAATGCGTATATTGATGAATGCGACAATTAAAGCTGCCTGCAAATAGAGAAAATTATAATATTATTAAAGAAATTATTTTTTATTAAGTTAAAGATTTTATATTTATAAATACAAAGTGAAAGACCTAGTAGTTTAGTCCGCGTTATTCTTAGTTAACTTTAAAATTAATTTAAAGGTTAGCTCACAAATAAATAAATAAATATTTCTAAATAAAGATAATTGTTATTGTTGTTGTTTAACCTATCATTTCATCGTACTTTAGTCAGTCTGTTTGGACAGCTTTCCTTTTTTTCTGCCGAGGTTTAAAAATGCCTAACACATTGTCACTTTGTCATCACTATAGTGATATGCTCTTTTGGCATGGATTAAAAACAATCCTCCTCATGTGTCAGACCGTTTTTATGCTAGAACTTTATCAGGAATACTTTAGGATAGGGTCCCTGTGTTGGTTATCCATTTAAAAATTTTGTTTTTCAACTATCTTTGCAAACGTGACATCTCTAATAAGTGGTGTGTCGCAGATGCAGTGACTAGTTGAAGTAGATCTTTTATCGATAATGGAACTTTTTAGAAAATGTTGAAAAATTTTTATTTGTGATGTACAATTTGTACAAATTTCGATGGATTAATTTTATAAAGTTGTGTGGTTAATGGTTATATATTTTAAATAAATTCTTTTCCATACTAAAGCCAGTATTGTATTTAAAATCAATATTTTTTCCAATTTATGAAATAAAGCAAATATAAATGATTTCAGTTATAAACAGATTTGTTTTTTTTTTTGGGAAGAGTTTCAGCATTCAGCAGCAGATAAAAAACGACTTCACTTGATTAGCAAAAATTAATTGAAACAAAGCTCTTATCACATCAAAGTAACTTCAAACTTTTATCTTTTTTAGAAATTTAGAAAATACCAAAAACTTACAGCGATAGCACCTAGTAATTCCCATAGATATGGTTTCAAATATGACCAAAAACGTTTCCAATCAAATTTATTTTCATCTTGCATAAGTGTTTTTTGCAGGACACCTGATAAACGATTGCCTTCGCATCTCACTTGATGTTTGTACAGAAAATGACGGCCACATAACGCTACAGAAACTCCAAATCCACCAAATATTAGTGTATGCCTTGATAAGCCATTACTCTTGCTTGTTCCCTGTGTGCTCCTATGTGTTTTTGTTTCCAAATTTCGTACCAATTTATTAATATTTTTCAGCCTGGCACTAAAATCTCGGGCAGTGTTTATTTTTGTATGTACATGATATCTGGGCAGTTGTAGAAATTGACTTCTGTAAAGAAACATAAAATGTTTTAACAATATTTCTATGGAAATTTTTTGGTATGACATAATCCTGCCTAGCAGTTTACCTTTGTCCGCAACTTGACACCAACAAACCCAACATTATTGTCACCTTTTCAACACACCTTAGATATGCTCTTGTTATGTAATGTATATCATTGAATTTTATTTTATTATTAGTTTTATATCATTTTCACTTTTTGATATTCCTTATCGTTCGTTAATATTAATTTGTTTATAAAAATTTTGTTAAAAATGATAGATTAAATTTTTGCTTAGCCAATCAAAACATCAGTAACAAAACACAATTAGAACACAAATGCGTTAATAAGGTGAACAGCTGATGAACAGGGCGAGAGTGCAAGCAAAATTTACAAATGCAAGGTGGACTTTATGTGACATTTAATTTTACTACTGGTGAGTGGTGAAAACGTAGCAATGGTGAGTATTAATCGTATAACATGAGATGGTAATTATTGAGTTGAATGAATTAAATATTATTATAAATATATATTTTTTAAGTGATTAATTTTTTAATAGTTCTTATTCATAATAAATTCAATAATTAAAGTACTTATCTAAATTAATAAATACTTATGAACTTTATAATCATATAAATTTGTTAACATAACAAGTTAACTGTCAAATTTTGAATGAAAAATCATTTACAAAAATATAATTTACACTAAAATTTTACCGAATAAACTTATGGCATAAATTTATCTGTAGTCAATGCATAGTTGCATTCGAATACAAGCAAGTCATTTATAAAAATACCTTTTTAAATCATTTTAGTTTAGACTTTTCGCACAATTCGAAATAACTGATTGATAAAGTTTACACAAATATTTTATATTGCAACGACATTGGCTAAATATTTGTTATTGCAGATATAAAAAGTGCTACTAATAGCTGTATGTGCTGATTGATAAATTTACAGAAATATTTTAATAATGCTTCGTTTTGTCATTTTCTATGTCATTTTCAATGTCAAATATTGTCAGTATGATGAAAATGAGTAATCATATGATGACATTCTTGTCATTTTTGAGAAGTGAATTATGTGTTGAATAATTTCCAAGTGAAAAGAGTAAAATTCAATGCGATTTTTTGACAGAAACTACATTATCGTCTTTGCGTTATACTTTGGCATGTAATGAAAACACATTTGACACACCAGTCAATTATGATAATGGTTTTGTTATTTGAGACGCGTGCAAGTTAGGCTAAGTTGCGTTCTAAATTATTGAAATTCTAAGTTGTGCCGATAATGTAGTGATGTGTCGATACCTGTTGATAAATGGCTAAATGTGTGCAGTGCAAAAAATCCCAAGAAAAGTCCCATTTGGTTTAGCATCAACTTAGCCTATCTCGCACACGTCCTTAAAATGACAAAGTGAAAACACCCCATAAGTGAGTTCATACAGCCATATACGTAAAGGCACAAAATTATACATTTGATAAATTTATATGCTTAGATGAGTAAATGGTAATGGTTTATAGGTTAGGCTAAGGTCTTTATGCACTGCGACCAGGTTTATCTATTGTGCACCCCTTTGTATTTAGACATTTCGTATACTGAGTAATCATCACAGTTGGTGAACAGATATTCCATAGACTCTTCCTCATCACAGCAGATTCTGCAAATATTTGTGTCGGATATATCTATTTTGTGTAGGTGTTTATTGCCAATGGCGTGTCCTGTTAGCGCACCAGAGAGTGTCTTTAATCTTCTTGTTTAGGTTGAGAACGATGTTTGCTCTTTTCGCATCAAAAATCAAGAATTTTTTGGAATGGTTTAGGAGGAATAATATTTATTTATACGCTGTATATGGCGTCAAAAATATTTTATAATTTACGGTAGGCAGTATCTTATACTAGTGATTGGGATGCAAATAAATATTAATTTAATTTATTTTTTTTTCATTTTTAAAAATAATTTTTTTTTTATAAGAATAACAATAGCAATAGTAATAGGAAAGGAAAATAATGTATAGATTGCGAATGTAGAAAAAATATGACTCCCTTTGATTTAATAGCAGTCAGCTTGAATAGCCAGCTAAAAGCACAATAAGCCTTGGATTGGCAGTCACAGACGAAGAAGAGCTGTTTGGTGCTGACCACCAATACTTCTTCCAATCTTCATACTTATTGCACACTACTAAATGATTTCATATAGAAGGGTAGGTGGGGCAATATTTCTGAAGTTAATGCATAGTCTTTGTTTTTGTGCATATTTTCCGTGAAATAAATGATTGACTTTCTTCTTCGAAATTATTATAAATTTGATGAAATTTTATACTACTCTCATACAACCATACCTCTTATGAGGTTTGCCTATTATAAGGTCTGTAAGCACTGGCAGTAGCGCAATCATTATTGTTGTTAGTGTAAATGGTATTAATATGTTCGGTAGTGAAGACAGTACTATGCCCTATAGTAGCTATGATGTCGTGAAATATATTAATAAACACCATGTTGTTTAATATCTAATTACGTTTTATATCTTAATATATATAATTAAATACATGTTTAATATATAATGTAGTGCATACACTTCCACGCTTTTATTTTATTGTGAATATAACTTCAGTAGAACAAAGGCTAGAAATGACGCCTGCAAATTGCAAGCCCAGGATTAATGTATCTCTTGTGAAACACTGCTTTTTATGGTAATGTTTAGATGAGAACTGAAAGTGATGCTCAAATGTTAAGGTTTAGACATAAGTTATTATTTTCATGATATACATTCAATACAACTCAATCAAATGAATCGGTTGTGTTTTATTTTTATTTAAAAGAAAATACAATTTGTAACTTATATATACATACACATATACTTGTATATATTTAAATTTGAACATGTATCTGCGCATATTATACATCAAAATAGCAAAACATGATTGTTTATACATTAACTTTAAATAAAACTCATATAAATCATTTAATGATCTAGGATTTTCCCGATCTTTACATATTAGAATAAAAGCACGAGTTTTTTCCATAAAGTAGTAAAGTATTACAAATATTTAAAACAATAGACATTAAGATATTTCATTAACACGAGTTTTTTCACACACAAAAGGATCAGTTTAAAATAAAATATGTGTAAACAAAAGAAAAGGAATAACGGATAATTTAAACAATGACGGCAGACAAGGTTGTGTTATACAAATAATGGACTGTCTACCAGTGAGTAAAACCCAAGCTAATTAAAGCGTAACATTTTTAAACGAAATAGCATGTTAGATTTAGTATTTAAGAAACGAAAATATAAATATAAAGGTAGTTAAACATTTGATATATACGCGTAAAGTTGTTTTTTATTCAATGTATATAAATATAAAAAATATATATTTAAACATTTTTGAAACGATCTTTTGCAAGATTTGTGAGTGTGGTGAGTTGAGAGATCCTCGTCAGAACTCCTTGTAAATTTCATGTAAAGTCCACCTTGCATTTGAAAATTGTGCATGCATATCTCGCCGTGTTGATCAACTAAGCATCTTAATGCATTTGAATTCTAGCTGTGTATTGTTACAGAAGTTTTGTTTGGCTTAGCAACGATTTTATCTGTCATTTTTAACAAAATTTTTATAAACAATATTAACGAACGATAAAAAAAATCAATTGGTGCAAAACATATAAAACTAATAATAAAATAAAATAAAATAAAATCGAAGTGCTTATCTGAGGTGTGTTGCAAAGGTGACAATAATGTTGGGTTTGTTGGTGTCAAGTTGCGGACGAAGGTAAACTGCTAGGCAGGATTATGTCATACCAAAAAATTTCCATAGAAATATTGTTAAAACATTTTATGTTTCTTTACAGAAGTCAATTTCTACAACTGCCCAGATATCATGTACATACAAAAATAAACACTGCCCGAGATTTTAGTGCCAGGCTGAAAAATATTAATAAATTGGTACGAAATTTGGAAACAAAAACACATAGGAGCACACAGGGAACAAGCAAGAGTAATGGCTTATCAAGGCATACACTAATATTTGGTGGATTTGGAGTTTCCGTAGCGTTATGTGGTCGCCATTTTCTGTACAAACATCAAGTGAGATGCGAAGGCAATCGCTTATCAGGTGTCCTGCAAAAAACACTTATGCAAGATGAAAATAAATTTGATTGGAAACGTTTTTTGTCGTATCTATGGAAATTAGTATGTGCGATTGCTGTAAGTTTTTGGTATTTTTTAAAACAGATAAAATATATAAAGTTACTTTGAGGTGATAAGCGCTTAGATTCAATTAGTTTTTGCTAATCAAGTGAGGTCATTTCTTATCTGCTGCTTAGCTGAAAGTCTTCTCAAAAAAAACAGCAATAATGTTTATAATTCAAATTATTAGTATTTACTATATTTTATAAATGTATAATTGGAAAGATTTTTGATTTTAAATCGCTTTTGTAAGTTTTCTGCATCACTTAATTAATCAGCTACATGCTTCATATTGGATGTCATTATGTTATTAATCCATAATAGATTTTAAGTTACTTTATTTAACTTTTTTTATTTGTGTAAACGCTGTTCACCTTATTTGAAAATATTAAAAATTTTATATATCTAAAATATAAATATTTAAATATTTCTCTATTTGCAGGAAGCTCTTCTGCGTTTCAAAACGGTAGCAAGTAATGCAAGTACTTATGCCAAGGAAACGTTACAAAATGTCTCTATTAATGATATTAAGGAACCAGCAACTATTTTACTCAGCTCATATTTGCTACCATCAGGTGTCACCCTCACTTATCTTTATTTGCTCAGTCGCATGGGAAACAATCCGGTGATGATAAAGATCGTTGATAAAGTCTTTGATGATCTTAATCTCCCAGTTTACAACGACCTCAAACGAACTCGCAGAAATAATTCGGGTGGGAGAGAATCCGATTATTATAAAACTTGTTGATGATCTCAATCTTCCAGTTTACAACGACCTCAAACGACCGGCAGAAATAAGTCACTATAATCGCAAATCGTTGTAAGCAATATTTTAATAAATATCTTTTATTCTCATTTTAATATAAATCAAATCTCATAAATATAAATGATATAAATTGTTTATATGATACAAAAAAATACAAATTTAGGATAAATTATTGAGTTTATAGGAAAAAATCAAATTGAATTAATACATACTGATTTGAATAAATAAATTATTTCTTATGTAAGATAGACCATTTAATACAGAATAATTACTTGAAAATTCATTAAATAATAAGTATTTTTACAAAACCTTAAACGCTTCGCAGGCCTTAGCTATTAGAGGACACTCAAAGGGTGTATTATCGCTTTGGTTATTGCTATCATCTTCACATTCGTCTTGTACAGCAGTAATAGATGTTCAAATAGCGTCGTTGTTATATTCCTGGCATATATAACGATTATCGTCAAAGCCTACTACATTTTCAACAGTTTCGACGAAAGCCTGTGTGTCGTACCAGACGATGAAGATATTGTATTCATTTCAATTAATAATGGACATTCAGC